CGATGCCAATAGGACAGTTCACGTCAATTCTGACAGTTCACGTCAATTCTGACACTAACTACCTGAAGCTATTGCGGTCCCCACAGGTTAAACCTCAGGCCCACAAGAATGCCCCCACTTTAGACACCATTTGCAGGTCTTGGGCCATCTTCTGACCAACTGGCTATAAATTGGGGAGTTCTGATAACCCCCTCCTCAGGTTTGATAATTTGCTAGAAAAGCTCACAAAATTCAGGAAAACAGTTTACGTACATTTACTAGTTTAATATAAAGGATACAACTCAGAAAGAGCCAAATGGAAGAGATGCTCAGGGCAAGGTTTGGGGGGCAGGGCATGAAGCGTCCATGCCCGCTCCAGGCATGCTACCCTCCCAACACCTCAACCTGGAAGGCTCTCGGAATTGTTCTAGTTTTTATAGCACTCCATCTCCAGCCACCACCTCCCTTCCTGGAGTTCAGTTGGTGGGGCTGAAAGTTTCAATTCTAATCTCTTGGTCTGTCTGGTTGGCCGGCCTACAGGGGTGCCACGCTAGGTCACCTGATTAGCATAAACCCAGGTGTGATGGAAAGGGACTCATTATGAATAAGACACTCCTATCAGGAAATTCGAAAGGTTTTAAGAGTTCTGTGCCAGGAACCAGGGACAAAGATCAAATATATTTTTGTATTATATTACACCATCTTTTGACCCAATAGCCAATGTCACCCAGAGCCTCACCCTTGCAATGTTTTAGTCTATTATAAACAATATTAAATAACAAGTCTGTTTTACCTAAAACATTAAACTGAAATTACAAATCTCGTCTCAAATCGAGCCATGCTACATCCAATGCTAAAACCCGCAGAGGAAAAGTACACTCCTCCACGCACACCCTATGGCCGAGGCCAGAAGAGACTGGCTTCCAAACTGATGCCACACCCCAGCAGGGCTTGCTGAGCTTCTGTCTGTGCCTGGCAGTTTTCAATCTCAACCAAAACACAGAGAGAACAAGAAAGTAGAGGAAAGAAAATCCAACTAGTAGCCAACGGATAGAAAAGCATGCATCCACTCCTATCCTATCAGGCCAACTTAAAGTTGTTGTTTGTTTTTTTTTAAATATTAATACATTTCAGTTACTGTAAGCCACACATGCTTTCAATACAGCAAAAAATAATGCTCTTAAACAGAACATCCCAATCATCCGAGAAAATTAATATACAATAAATGTGGAATGAGAATTTTAAAAGCAAACTCCAAGTTCTGACAGGGAGAAAAATTACCAGAAAAGAATAAAAAGATATTCTGACATGGAATTAGTCACATTAAAACCAACAATGTGTCCAAGATAATATCTATCACCAAACAGTAACACCTCACCAAAGCAAAGTCTCACTTCCCCAAACACTTCAAATTACCAGTTTACAAATTCTCTTCACCAATTTGAATTCTTTAAATTTCAGGGGTCCTAGACTTCTTTGTTTTTAAATTCCCATCCTTCCACCTCCTGCCCACTGGCAACCATCAACTTCTTCTCTATATGGGAATCTGTTTCTGTTTTGTTTTGTTTATTCATTCATTTTTTTTTTAGATTCTACAATACATAGAAGATTATACGGTATTTGTCTTTCTCTGATTTAATACACTTAGCGTATTAATAACCTCTAGGTCCATCCATGTTGTTGCAAATGGCAAGATTCCATTCTTTTTCATTGCTGAACAATATTCCATTGTGTGTGTGTGTGTGTGTGTGTGTGTGTGTGTGTGTG